AGGATTTATGCGGTTTAAATGGGTAATGCTGTCTCTCATAGACAGTTGGACTGATGTAATGCTGTACATTTCAGCAAATTTATAAGCTTTCGAACAAATTTGTTTTTTTTACAATGTTACATGTGCCTTATAATAACTATGGTTGTCCGCTTAGTGAATTCGGCGGAGATGTAGAATAAGAGGAATTCCTTGTCGGAACTACAAAATCACAGTATTTTGTAAAAGCTTCAGGACACGACAAAATTAATGGCAATTCTGAGCTTTTGAGACACATACAGGGATATGACCTTGGGAAATCTGCTGCACATATTCCTTACCTAAACTATTAGCGTTGCCAGCTGTGAGAACGCATCCCCAAACCGCAAGCTTACAACGAACTACCTTCCATCATCATTAAAGTAGACAAGGCTCACAAATTGGCAGTTCTCAATATAGAGAGTGAAGTTGACGATGGATGGTATTATGAATACACTGCCGCAGATAATGCGCGAAATGTGTATCTGTAAATCTTGCTCATTAGTGCTATGTCGCTGAAAACGCCTGAATTTACGGCAGCACTCTAAAATTACATCCCTGAGATGAAATATTTTAGGACTGCCTTTCATTGTGAGAGTTTATAGATTTACAACCGCCAGTGGGGCGGCCATTTCACGTCCGCCCCGAGCGGCTAAACTGGTTACTACGCCACTGACTGGACGCACTCAGATTTCACGAGTCTGTGACAAATGCTCCTACCCACTAACCACCAACTCGGGTGTTCTTCAGGGGGACCTTTTATCGCCTTATCACATTGTACTTACATATGCCCAATACTAGCCTACCAGTAAGTGACGCCTGTTGTAACAAAGCAGTGCCCACTCACATGGTAACCAAATTGTCGCAGTCGTATTTCGGTATTTCCGCTGTCAGTGGAGCGCCCCTCAAAACCTCTCTCTTATACCCAAGGGGGCCAAGATATTCCGAGATGCTTCAGGGGCATTCTGAGGATGTATTCTGCAAAACCGAGTGGAGAATATGTTTCATGGAGCGAATTGTGTCAGAGGCACGAGCCTGCGGGGCGTCTCAGCACATGATAGATCATGTGAGGAGAGTTAGGCTCGTGAATGCATTGTACTGATTTGCGAATTGCTCCTATTTTGTTGATATAAAAGTATATAATGGGAACCAGTATTTCCATTACTATACCTCACAAAGCCATGCATTCGAAATGCAGGTATAAGCACTGGTGTTCACGCTAAGTGCTTTCGCAGTGAGTTCCCGACTGTTTCCGCGTTACGCGTACCGATACAGCCAGAGGATACCAGGATGATTCCTCGAAATCAGAATTACATTGCTGCTAATGATGAGAGGTCATGTATTCTTACGTATGGTTGGGTCGCGAATACATGTTACTGAGCTGGTCTGTCGAAGTGGACTACCGTGCTCAGAAAAGGAAGAGACTTTCTATTGATGGTTCTGTTAAGCATTATTGCAGAAATGCCGAAGTTGCATAGTGTCGTGGGTTACATATCGCCGCGTAAAGACAGATGCTGTCAGATACACTAAGACAACGGATCGGATGTGAGCCACTGATCCATCTCAGGATGCGGAATAAATGTTTGTCGCTTACTGTGAAGCATTTCAGAGGGTTATGCGGTCGACTGCGTTCGCTACAGCGCCTATGTTGTGCCAATGTATGCGGTGCATCATGAGTCGTCCGCTACTTGTTAGGAGTGAAGCGTTCAGAGAACACGAAGCACTCAAGCTACCAAAGTAGTTGTCATCGCGATCGCCTACACATTAACCACCAAGAAATCACATTTATCCCTCCAGTGCAACCACTTGATGGCAAGTGCAGTGCCTCACATTAACTTTGGGCTGGATGATATGGGGTACTGCGTTCGGCTTACGGTGCACAGATCTTTCACTATATACACGCCTAAAAACAAGATGTCACAGTCATATCACGGCATTAGCGCTCTCAGCAGAGTGCCACCCATGATGTTTCTCCCTTACGCATGTGGCCACCTGTCAACCCTGAGTTCAGTGGCAAGTTGCACAGGCCACCTTTGTCGCTTTACCCATAAGTACGCTATAACATTTTGTCACGCCAGACCCCGATCATTCACAGTCATACACCTGTGAGTGTCTTGATATCCGGACACACCGAACCTACCGGAGCGCTGGTAGGTCGTCCTCACAGTGTCATTCCACGAACTGTCTTCTGAGGTTCTTATTTGTGACTATAAAGTGGATTTCATGTGTAAAATTATGTTCCCGAATTTCCCGCTTTGTGCCGACGATGTAAATTATGGCGAACGATTATTTGCAACTAAATGGATGTATACCAGTTATCATGTAAATGTCTCTGCTAAATCATCAAGTCGCACTCCATTTCATTGGTACACACATTATTTAATCTTCCCCACTTCATTACGACCATCCTAGGGGACATGTGAAACGTTATCTATTTGACACGTTATATGCTATCTGTGATTGTGGACTACGTGTTCACAGGCCGTTAGATAGGGAACTGAGTGTTAGCGAACTCGCGAAGTTATTGGATTCGCAGGTGCAACTACCGTAGGAAGGAATTGTAGTGTTGTTCGCCGATATGCTGTGTCGGCCAAGCACGTATGCTGGAGACCAGCCAGTGAAATGACTAGACAAAGTTGCCAAGTAACGGTGCAGTGATTCCCATGTGCGAACACACCACACAGCTGGGTACGGGATACGAATTCAGTTGATGCGTGTCAGTTGCGCTTACATTGAGTCTGCGCCAGTCCGCCCATGCATGTGTGGGTGTGTGTGTACAGATCAGCCGATACAAACTGCCGACAGCCCGGTCGCAGTCTCTCATTTGATTCAGGGACCAGCAAGTCGGTGTACTGCATCCACTATGACGGTAAGCGACGTATGCTGTAACAAAACAGGGTCTACTCGCCTTGTAACAAAAGTGCCACAGTCGTATTTCGGCACTAGCCCTCAGCAGACCGCCGCTCGCAAGTGCGTCACACCGCCTCTGGTCATTCCCAGCCATGCACCTCCGACTGCCTCGCTATCCGGACACAGTAATGTCGTATATCCTAGCGTTTGTAGGTCGCCCAAAACCTTGGGATGTGCCAGTGCAAAACTGGCCATAAGATCGCTAATGGAGTGCCGCGTTACCGTGTTCGGAGCCCCTCCCCCACTTGTGACGTTCGTAAAGCATGCCTTTACGTACATGGTAGTCCACTTATACCCAGTCGCATCACGTGTTTGGACAACCTTATGCCCCTAAGTTGCGTGGAACTAGCTTCAGATAAGGCAACGTTGCTGAATACAGGCTAGACCGCCCACGCGTCAACACCACACACTCCCAACTCATACATTCATGCAAGTGTTATTGAGTCTAACGTCATTGGCTGTTTTGGGCTAGCTAAATACCAAGTCACTGTGCGCACCTGGTGCGTGGATATGATGCTGGATGCAGTTCAATTATACTAATGATTATATTCAACCGGCTTGCAGATGCAAATCAGAGCTTTAGGGGAAACTCAATTGCACTGTGAGTGCGATCACTCGGTTAAAGGTGTAGTGTGTTTTCTGATCGTTCACTCATATCTCGCTGCGCCTGAATCCATCTGCGGTAATCACTCATGAGGGATGGCCTTAGACAGAGTGTTGCGTTAGTGGGTCGCTTGCACCTGACTGACTAGTGTTTGCCTAATGACGGGCCTACAATTCCCCGCGGAACCGCTTTACTGCGTTCACATAGGACCGCGTATAGTCGGGAACATTACTGGTACTTCACTGCCCCCGTATTCTTTTAGTGCTCCCTGGCTGTCCAAACACGGTGTACACATTTGTGTGGTAACTACTTACAGGTTCACAGTGACCCTCACCTTCAATTTCGGTTATATCCTGCGAAGCCTGGTGAGTTATGATGTAAACATTCTTTGAACTGTACTTTGTGATCGGTCTTGTCTCTGCGTAATTCGCCGTTCATTCCTTAGGTCCACCTGCATTTTGCGTACGAAGTTACTCTTTCGGTCCGTGGTCTTGTTTAATGTCTATTCAATGCCTAATTTTCGCGTGGCCCTAGCCGATCAGGATTTTGTTCAGAAAATTAGAGCCTGGGAAGAAATACAATGCGGCCATTGGGTAGCGATCTTGCTTTCCTTAAATCACTAACGACTAATGACAAATTGTGTAACCCAGCCGACGTCCCCCATGAGTTAGTGGCCTTAGCCGCTGGCGAATTGGCATCCGCCTCTAGCGTTCATGGGATCGATCGCCAATAGGGGACCGAGGGAATGCGCACCACTGACTAGCTCCAATAGGGCGAAACGCGTCTGGTGCTTTTCCGGACTAGGCTGTGCTATGCATCTTGTGAGCAGCTGGGACGAAAACCTTGCAAGTACTAACAACATTCGCCTTTGTGCACGCTGTTTCTGTTCATCTTCACTGTGTACTCAAGCAGGGTGACAACCCTTCGTTACTTACCATGCGTTGTCACCTTATGCCCTGTGCGGCGTCTGCTTTCGAGACTTTTTGCCACCGTTGTGTTCTTCACCGCTCTTCGCACTCGATAGCGTAACTTAGCCTCTTCGTTCTGTAGCGGTTCTAGCCTTGTTTGGTCTCTGGGCACTGATTTCCCCACACACATTTCCCTGCTCTGCTCTCTGAACAAGCTTGCCTCTGTCCTTACATCAACTGTGCACACAAGTTTTGTCGCGAGTCTTTGTTTCTTAGTCCACAGGATTCATGCGGCTGTTGAATCGACTCTACTTGTTTATGGACAGCAATAACATTTGATCAACTCACGATGTGTGTGATGGGCTTCCTTCCCAGAGTTAATTCCGTCCTAACATGTGTCCTCAAAATTCGTACACGACAATACGAGCTACCACTGTTTCACCCCTCACTATCTTGCTGCACTAGTACATCCGCCTTTGAATACACCTCTTATTGGGATCACATTGACATTGCTGCGCTTATTCTCGTCCCATATCTCACTGTTGTTTTTCCACTTCTTGAAGCCCCCGTCCGTCTCCACTAGTTGTGTTCCGAATCCAATGGACACCGACCCGGAACTTCCTCACTTTCTTCCCCCTTCAAATTCGCCTGTCCCCCCGTCTTCTGGGACCACCACCACCTGCCCACCTCTCCGTGACTCCCTCGATCCGTCACATGCTACTCAATCCACTGACCCGGTATCCTTGATGGCCTCTCAACTAGACTGGTCGTCGTTCGTGCAGTCTTATGCTCAAAATTTGTATCCTCAACCCCCCGGTGCTTCACAAACACAGATCTTCACAAATAACACCACAGTTCGTCGATCTTATGTTGTCTCGCCCACTGAGATGGCAGATGCTCTCTTCACTTCATTCGATACCTCGGAGTTTTCCAACTTGATGGATACAAGTGATCCGTCTTGTGGCCTTTCAACACTTGCCATGAACTGGTCGATGGATACATGAGCAACTCACTGACCAAAGACATGAAATGTACATCCCTCTGACCGCTGGTCGCTGACTAATTGCCATTCCATGCCAAACAGGTTATTTCTCCAAAAACACCTATGTTCTACTTGATTTTGCAGCATTCTGTTTTTTCGTTTTCCCTCTCCGATGTCCTTCCACGGCTATAATGTTCATTTCGTCGTCCAGCCCCCCGATCGATAGGCAATCCTCTCACTCCACCTCTGCAACCCGAATGTGTGCCGTTTCTTGCGTCTCCGCATCGCTTTTATGAGTTATTTTTTTACTCAACGTTTGTGTTGTTCCTCTATGACTTGAAGCTTGTTCCCGCCCCCCCCCAGTGCATTCCTCCTCTAGATAGACAACCGTGTATTATTTGTTCGATTTATCAGGCTGTATATTGACCTCCCGTCTACTTTGCTTATGCGTTTGTGCCTGTACTTATGCATATCTGAAAGTGTACCCTCATAATCAGTACGCATATTCTCCAGTCCAATCATTGAGTGGGCCACTGCGACATCGTAACGCTTTGATGTCCCATCATTCTCAGTGTTCTACGGGACAAGTGTTGAATTCCGATTCGACCTCCACGTTAGTCCTGATGGCTAGCTTGGTGTACAGAGCCAAACTAAAAGTGCTTAAGCACTGAAACAATATTCGAACTAGTCGATAGACTCGCTGGTGTAGACATCTGTATCACTTCCATTGTCACAAACTCCATATGTCTTACACGGCTTTGGCAATCTATACTAGCCATTCTCAACGGGAGCCATATAGTCCCTCTAAGGACCACAGAGAATTCCCGGGGGGCCTGGAATGAGAACTATTGTCAGGGGGCCATGGTGGTCTGTGCTGTGAAAAGTGAGTTGTCATGACACGAATATGCTAATCCATTTTTAACAAATTTCCTGAACGTTTCTTCTCGCACTGATTTCCCCTGGTAACTACCAGCCAGTGAAATGACCTGTGCACGCGCAATTAGCTGTTTACGAAGCTGCGCAATTCAGGGCGAAAAGTTTACCGTCGCGCCGGGCGGCCTAACTAGTTGCTACGCCACTTTACCAAGGTTATACCTATGCAAGAAGAGTAAAACAAATTGACATATATATATATATATATATATATATATATATATAGAAAGAGAGAGAGAGAGACCAAACCGCTTATACTGCCATAAGTTAATTGGCGGCTTAAGTTTAGTAATCTCGTCGCTTGATGCGGGGGCTACCCTGTCCTCTGCACGTCAGTAACGTGTGAGTCGCGCTGTATCACATCTATTTACTTATTCACGATGGTGCTGGCCGTCCCCAGTAGCTCAGTAGTCTCAACCACGGACTGGCAACAGTCGAGTTGCGAGTTCGGGCCATACCAGGGTCCGATGGAATGCGCACTGCTGACGATTCCCGAAAGGATGAAACGCGCGTACAGTGCTTTTCCGGATGGGTGACGGCTGTCTAAGTGAGTCTAGATGTGAAGCATTTCTACCTATACATATATATATATATGCTTATTTATTAAAGAGCTATCTCGGCAAATCTGTATGCATTATTCTATTTATTTTATTTGATGTCATCGTTTCAAGTGATTGCGTGTTGCTTGATATCCCCCGTATAGCTTCGCTTGATATGCATGTTGACAAGTTGCTTACCTGTCTATTACCCACTACCTCGTCCATACTGGCTGACTCCAGGAGACAGTTGCTCGTTGCTGGAGGGGATGAGGTGCACGGTTCTCGTGGCCGTGCTAGGCTCGAAGAGTAGTTCCATGCACTCAGTTTGGAGCGTACTGCGGTCCATCCAATGTCATGTGTTCGATTGATACCCCAAATACAATGTGCTTGTGTTTGCCTGTGAAGGAGTGTGGGCCAGCTCCGTTGATGAAGGTGACTCCCATCCACATGCCTCCCGGTCTTATTCCTTCGGGTTTACACTGGATATGGGGTGTGTGGATGGAGCTGTAGGTGGTGCAGCACAAGCTACCCATGGTCCCTCTGAAGGTGCGGGCGTCCTGTGGTTGGCCACAGTGACAGGCAAGTCCGAAACCGGATGCCGCCAACCATATATACTAGCTGTACCCAGCCACGCGTCACAGTGGCTTTGCGTGGGTACAAGGTAATGAATGAAAAGAAATTATTCAACTCTTTGTATAGATGTAGCCTCGAAATACTTGTTGGCATGTTATGTTGTACTGTTGTCTGGGTATATGAAAATTAAGGAAAAAACCTCACTTTTGTAATGGCTATACTTTCACAACTCTTGTGGGTACAAATGTTGTTGTGTTTTGACGTTGTTGGTGCTCATTTGTCAGATTTGCCGACTATAGAAAACTGCAAAATGCAGCTGTTCGTGTGAAGCAGTATGTGTGTAGATCTAACACGCACACTTCAAAAAACGGGATCTGTCCTTTGTTGCTTGTGATTGCAACTGCCAAACAAATATGGCATTTGAATAGCGCTATAAGAAGACGAATGTTGCAAGATGGTACCATTTCGTACCCTCTGTTCACTTGCAAACGGACAACATATAAAATGATATCGTGACAGAAAGAAATCAATAAGTTTAAAGCGTGAGGTCAGATGCAAGCGAAGTAAACCTTGGCTACGGATTGATGAGCAATTATTAACTTCAAGGAAGTTTGAGCGTAACGAACAGTTGCTTCTGAACCCACAGTGTTGGAGAATGTTATTTTTATGGCCACTGCCTCGGCGAACTTAAGGACTCTGGCGTTGGTGTCACGATAGATGACACTAAACGCCGAGTTAGGATCCACCTGATAACCCTTTTCCATCAGGTGTTTCGTAATCGAAGAGGCAGCTATGTTGTTCGTCGACACAGGTCCCGTTTGCGGCTGCCTTGTCAAGGTGACAATACGCTTCGGAATGTGCTCCCCAATCCACCTACACAAGCAACGGTCTGTTCTGCTGATGCAACTGCTTCCACGATTTCTTTGTAACTGTGGACCCCAATTCGGCGTTTAGTGTCATCTATCGTAACACAAACGCCAGAGTCCTCAAGTTTGCCGTGGCAATGGCCATAAAAAAGCACTCTCCAACATTGTGCGTCCAGAAGCAATTGTTCGTTGCATTCAAACTCCCTTGGAGTTAATAATTCCTTAACATGTAGCCGACGTTTACTTCGCTTGCATCTGACCTCACGCTTTCAACTTATTAATTTCTTTTTTTTATCACCTTATTGTTCGATATGTTGTCCGTTTGCAAGGGAATAGAGGGCACGCAATGGTACCATCTTGCAACCATCTTCTCATTGAGCTATTCAAGTTAATACAGGGAACACAATACTTCAAATATGGAATTGTCGTCCCATGAATTGTAGTGGGGTTACGGTTGCTCAGTGTGGTTAAAGGAAGTTGAAAGAAAACAAAATTCTCACCTTTGTGCACACATGGGGATTGTCGGGTTTGCCGACTCTAGAACATGCGACGTATAACTGCCTTTGTGAATAGCAGTCCGTGCCTAGATCGAACTCACGCACTTCGAAATACTTGCCCTGAGCATTGTTGCTTGTGCTTGCAAACGCGTTGCTGTGACGCATTGTAGTTAAATGAAGATGTAAGAAATGAAAGGCCTCACCTTTGCAATAAGAGCAGTTTCACGAAACTTGTGGGTATGCAATGTTATTTGCTTTTCCGTTTTCTGGTTGAATGAAAATGTTATAAAAGAAATACCTCACCTGTATTATAGGTATAATTTCCCAACGCTTGTGAGTATACCACTTTTTGTTGTTACGTTGTCTGTGCAGATTGGCACGTTTGCCAAATTTAAGACACGCAACTTATAATTGTCCATGTGAGAAACAGTCGATGTGTAGATTTAACCCGCTCACTTCAAAAGACTGCCCCTGACACTTGTTGATCATTATTACAAACGCCAAACGAATAGGGAATTTCAGTCACTTAACTTGAAATGGCGTACTAGTAGGAATCATCGGAATGCGAGAAATGAGGACATCTTCATATTCGGAAGGTCCGGTCAAGATTGTTGCCTGTACGACGTTGCTGAGGTATCCTTTTACTGCAAGCCGCGTTCCGTTACAAACCCTTGGCTGGTTTATATTTCGAAACGTGATAATTGGTATGCCGATTTTCACTTTAAGTACGTGTGGCCGCATCCCTGACAGCTCGAGTGAATTCAGCAATATTTTGGATGGTGAACCGCTTCATTTACTTCCGACACACTGTCGAGAGACTGATATGCGACTCCCTCGCTTGGAATGTTAGACTAAATAATTATGTTCAGTTTGTTAACTTCCTTATTTTTGGCCGCAAAAATAATTCGTTCACTAAGCCAATCGTGCTTCGGGTAGTTGGTTTGAATAGTAGGAACTTCTTTTTCAACCAATTCTTTTGATGTCACAAGATTGCAGAATTTATGATGCAATGAAATTCTTCCTAAAGTCACACAAACGAGCAACTCCGTTCCCATTATGCAGTAATTGCAGTGAGAATACCTCATCTGTGGTCGTGTTGAAACATATCTGGTTAATTTTAACCTCTTAACGTGACGCCACAACGAAGGGTATTTCAGGCAAGCATTCATTTCGTCCGCTGGTGTAGATCGAGGTATTACAGGCAACGTTTGCCTGAAATATCCTGCAAGCATTCATAACACGTTCCCAGTTTGTCTGCTGTTTCCTCGCAAATCTTACACTGATCGATCAAGTGCCTCCGGTGGTTTTTTGTGCATTCGTCCCAAATGATAAGTTTACACTTCTGCAATACTTTTCCCATGGTGGACGATGTTGCATGTAGGTTTCAATGAATTGTTTTTCCAGTGGCAATTTCAAAGCGGACTGAGCTGTTCTTCCACCGGGTAGCAATGTCGAGGCTATTTTGGAGAACGTGAGAGCTAAGCCTATGTTATTTTGCAATCTGTATGCCATAAGAATCAAATTAAGTAGGAATGTTTTGCCAGTTCATCCATGCGCATCTAAAAATAAGATTACCCCAACCGCGTCGTTGACATTTTGAATTCTTTGATGATA